TAAAATATTGATCAGAAATGGATACTGACGACTTTAATGAACAGCCAATAGTCAAAAAAGTTGGCCCTATGCTATGACTAGTTTATATGCTCTGCTTTCTCCGCACCGTCTTTACTCAAAAAATTAAAATAATAAATCATTAATTATTTATTTAAATTTTATTTAAAATAATTAAAATGATAGTGAATAATATAATAGACACATCGATCAGACAAAACAATCTTTCCAGTTCATATATATATATATATATATATAAATAAATAAATAAATATAGAAGTAGGCAAGGAAGCAACTATTTGAAATATCATATTTCTGCCATCCTTTGTTTGACTTTTGCTGTCCAAACCTAATGCTATTTATTTATTTATTTCTTTTTATATATATTCTGACCTATTATATTCATTAATGATTAAATGGGACTTGTTATGTGACTTGAAATTGACATTTTAAATTTATGTTACTAAAATTTTGTTTACTTTGGACTTCTTTCTAAAATTTTACCATTAAAATATTATATTTAATATTCAATTTTTTATTTAAAACATCGCATATGATCCATTGCTTCTTCGTCATTACCTACAAATATATATATATATAAACTATTAGTAAAAATAATATATATATATTAATTATTTTATATTGCATTTATAATTGAGGTATTGGCAATTTCTTAATCTTAATTCAATTAAAATTTACGATATGTTTGAATAATACACACTAAGAGATCAAATTCAGTTTAATCAATACTTAATATGAAATAACAACATTTCATTAGTAAAAATAAAACAAAAATAAATTAAACTACTTAAAGCTAAGTTAGGAATGTATTCACTCGATTATCCTCTTAAGAATAATTTATAAAATAAATTTCTACAGAATAATGAAGTTGGGCAAAAAGAGAAAACAAAAATGATTCGAAATAATAAAATCTGAATTACTATAACAATTTAAAAAAGAAAAAAGTAGAAAATGTTTGATGGGAATGGCATATATGATATTAATATTTACCATGATTAAAAAAGATACCCACGTGACGTGAGTGGTGTTTTGGCATCATTATTATTATTATTATTATTATTGTTATTATTACTTCCTACGTAACAAACTAAGTATTCATTTGTTTTTTACACGTAGTTTTAAAAGTATTAGTATTATATTGAAATATAATAGAAATAAAGTAGAAATGACTAAAATAACCTTATTAGTATGCATGATATAAAGGTAGTGATATTTGTGTAATATATTGTAAGTTGTAAGGGTATTTGTAATGTTAGGTAGATAGTACAGTTACTAAAAAAGAAATTTGATACTTTGTTATGGGACGGACTAAAATGAAAAAATTGATACTTTGTTATGGGACGGAGGGAGTATTATTATTATTATGACTCCCTCCATCCCGAAATAAAGTAACCATTTTTTCATTTTAATTTGTCTCATAACAATGTATTTATTTTATTTTTTAATAATTGTACTATTTACCTAATATTACAAATATCCTTACAATTTACAATATATTCCATTCGTCCCATAATTAAATATTCATTTACTTTTTGTACGTAGTTTTAGAAATATTAATATTATATTTAAATGTAGTAGGAATAAAGTAGAAATAACTAAAATAACCTTATTAATATGTGTGATATAAAGGTAATGATATTTGTGTAGTATATTGTAAGTTGTAAGAGTATTTGTAATGTTAAATAAATAGTACAATTACTAAAAAAATGAAATGAATATTTTGCTATGGGACGGATTAAAATGAAAAAATGGATACTTTGTTATGAGACGAGGAAGTATCACACAAATCTCATTACCTTTATATCATACAATACTACTAAAGTTGTTTTAGTAATTTTTATTTTATTCCTACTAATATTTCTAAAATTTCGTAAAAAAATAAAAACGGATAATGGGACGGATGAATTATTATTATTATTATTATTATTATTATTATTATTGTTATCCACTACGGTAAATAATCATTATCCATAATTGTCCATGCCCAACTTTGATCATCCATCATTTTGTCATTTCGTTATTTACCACCCCCCACATGATCGATGTTTTCAATCAATAATATAATTTTAGATTATCAATAAATAATAAGCATTGGGAACAAATATCAGACTTGCCTTGAAACGTCCCAAATTAAAAATAATACTCTAGAAATTATTTGAGCTGGAAGTAACAAATTAAATTTTATGTAAAATATATTGTATATTTGGTTGAATTGATTGAAGATATATATTCAAAGATTTTTACTATATGTAGTTAATTAAATTAGGATATTTTAACTCGTATTACATGAGATTTTAAAATTAAATTTTATCAATGTAGACTTTTATGCACTTATGTCATATTTGATACTACTGTTAGGTTATATTTCTTTCGTCTCTATATTTTTTTAATTGGATTGGACACGGAATTTAAGAAATATTAATATTATATTGGTAGTTGGTAAAAAATATGGATAAAAGACATTTTTGCTCTTGTGGGTGTATTAGTGTAAAAAATAGTGGCAATTGTGTAATAAAAATGAAAAAGTATGAGTAGATTTATGGTGATATGGTTATTTATGAAAACAAGACTATTGTATTGGAACGGAGAGAGTCGTATTATTGAACACATACGTCATCACTTTTAGGGTGTGTTTGTTTGGGGGATTGGATTGGATTTACACTATTCATCCAATTTTTTTTCCCAAAAACATAAAATCAAACACTTATTTTTTATTTTTTTTATATTATACTAAAAATCAATTTTACATTCAAAATATCACATCAACACCTATTTATATCACATCATACAACTATTCAAATTCAAAATTTTTACTATTTAAATCTCAACTTAAAATTCAAACTCCCACTAATATATTTTTAAGAGTTACTATATGTGGTACATATATATCTAATTATCAACATTGTATTAAATCCGGATGTAATATATATTTAGAGTGTGTTTTTTGGGGATTGAATTTTGATTTGGGATTTGAATAATAAAAAAATTGAATTTAAATAATGGTACGATGTTATATAAATAGATATTGATATAATATTTTGAATATAAAATAAATTTTTAGTATAATATAGAAAATGAAAAATAAGTGTTTTGATTTGAATTTTTTAAGAAAGAATTTTTAGTATAGTAAAAATTGGGTAAAATATATTGCGGACTTATATGCATTTTTGTCATGTTTGATATCAGATGGAAGTAAGTTTTAAATTTTGAGAGTGTGTTTGTTATTGCGGACTTATATTTACGTCATTTTTCAATAAATGAAACATTATACTAATTACGTCTTATAATAATGTATTTATCTATCTTTTCTATTATTATATTTAACTTTAAAAATATTATTACCAAAAGAAATTATTGTCTTCTTTTTTTCTAATTTTTATTACGTATATTAATATAATAATTAATAGGGTAAATTATACACCTTATTGTATTTTAGTAAAAATGTATAAAATATCTCATATTTTATTTATTATATAAAACTCTTGTATTAATATAAAATTTGCACGAATAGTCATTTTTTTTTTTTTGTTCAAAACTGATATTTGATTATAAATATGATCCTAATAATGCAAGTTTTGTACAAATAAAAGAGATAAATTATTTTAAATAATTTTATTGAATAAAATAAATAAAAATTAATCGATTAATCATTCATTCTATAATTTTTTTTAGACAAATTATTATTATTTTTTATAAAATTATAAAAATAAATAATGGATCAATTATCTATTAATTTATTTTATTCAAAAAAAATTATGTAAGATATTTTATAGTTGTGTAAAACTTGCATATTTTAGGTTTTATTTAACATCAAACATAAGCTTTGCATGAGTATATTTTGTACAAATTTTAAATTAACATTTAAGAATTTAACATAATAACTAAAATATATGAATATTTTGTGCATTTTTATTGAAGCATAATAAAATATAAAATAATTTAAGCTAATTAATATTAAAAAATTTGTACTCAAAAAATCAATTGAATATTTTATTATATCATGGATGAAATATTAACTTTACAAATTTTTAAATATCATATATCATAACTTTATATTTTTACGTAAAATACTGTACGTTTGTTTGCTCTGCTAAAATTATTTTAACTTATTTTCTTAAAACAAATAATATGTGTTGATATAAATATTTTTAAAAAATTTGACACCATCAATTTTCACATTAGTTTTGTAAAACACAATATTTATACTTTTTCTTACATAAAATATTATACTCTCTACGTTCAATTTCTATTGTCCTAAAGTATATTTATACGATTTTTTAAGTGATTTTTTTTTATGAATTAAAAAATTTGCCCTTAATTATATGGTAGAGATTTAAAGTAATAAATTAATAAAGAGTAAACATGTAAAATTTGTGTTTAAAAAAAAAAAAGACAATAGATATTGGACGTAATAAGACATTAATTTGTGGACGAAGGGAGTATTCAACAATTAAATTTTTATTATTTTGAATTTGTTTAAAAAACTAAAAACTTTTTTTTTTAATTTATTTATAAATGCAAATCATAACCTAACAGTTGCAAGAAATTTTAACAGCCGCAGCAGTAGTAGTGATGACGTCATCGGGCCGACAAGCCGAACCAGAGCGGGGCCCAGCGCTGTCGAGCCCACCCAACCCACGTTCCTCTCCCTCATTATACGCAATTAGGCAGTCCCTTTAATGGACCGCATTCCAATCTCGACCGTTCGTGCGAGCCTCGCCGTTAAATCACAGCCGTTGGCTGTCCCGCGCGTATTTGACTGTTGACTTGTACTCAATCAATCATAATTACAAACAATATTATTAAAGTAGTAGTTTAATTATTTAGTTTAGAAATTAATTGATTTTTTTTTTAGTTTAGTGGAGAATGGAGAGATTGTGCAAAATGACAAATTGTAGTGGTAGGAGTAGTGGGCAAAGCAAAGCAAAGTGAAAAAAAGATTTGTGTATAAATTAAAAACCACCACAACAACACAAACACATATACTGCTCATTGCTAAAAGAGAACCTTTTGTTGACCAAATCCCCCCAACAGAATAATTATTATTTTTCATTTTTGATTGTAAAGCTTCGATTTTTTTGAAATTTAATTTAGTGGGATGTTAAGAAATGCTCTGACATCACCTGTCCTTTGACTGAATTCCCCACTGCATTAACAGCCCACTTTCTTCCCCACTTTGCACTCCAATTCAATTCTTGTTATTTTGTTCTTGTTCTTGTTCAAATCCCTAGTTCTCTCTCTCTCTCTCGTTTTTTTTGGGGAAAATTTTTTGAATTGGGGCTGCCATGGTGAGGGATGATTTGTGTATTACAGTTCCAAGTTATTTTCGGTGCCCTATTTCTTGGGATTTGATGGAATCTCCGGTGAGTTTATGCACCGGAGTTACTTACGACCGGAGCAGCATACAGCGGTGGCTCGACGCGGGAAATAACACATGCCCCGCCACCATGCAGGTGTTGCATACAAAAGAGTTGGTTCCAAATCACACCCTCCGCCGCCTTATAAAAATCTGGTCGGACTCCAGCGCCGCTACGACTCGCCGCCCGCCGTCGCCGTCGCCGCCGCCTGACTCGCTTAGTTCCGACCAGGCGAGTCGACTCATTGCGCAACTCGAAGGGGACCTTGAGAATGATTCTTCTGCGGTTAGGAAATGTTTCGCCAGGCTGATTCCGTTCGCCGCCGAATCAGAGGAGAACGGACGGTTGCTCACGGCGGCCGGCGGCCGGATTCTGCCGCCGGCGGTGGCTCTTGTAGGGAGAGTGAAGGATTTGGTTTTTCTGGAGGAGATTGTCTCGTTTTGCAATGTTCTCTTGAGGAATTGGATGAATAACGATTCGGTAGAGCAGAAAACGGCGATGAAATCGAAGATCGAAGCAGGTAATGTCGATTTTACAGCTTCGATTTTGAGAGGATTCAAAGAGGGAAGAATCCAGCTACGAACCGCCATAGCCGAATTTCTCGAGCTAATGGCAAAATGTTCAATTTCAGAAACCGATTCATCTCCTCTATCCGAAGGCGACGAGATCTACTCGGAGCTTCTGAGATTAATCTCTGCCTCAGATTACAATCCGGAAGCTATGGACGCAGCTCTAACCTTCCTGATTCGCCTCTCTCTACAAAAGCGAAACAGAGCAAAATTCATCCGCGCCGGCGGCGTAAACGTGCTCGCAGCGGCGCTGGCCGACGCGGAGCTAACCGCACCGTTAACGGAGAAAGTTCTGCAGCTTCTAGAAATGGCGTCGGGAAGCTCCGACGGACGGAACCAGATCTGCGGCAGCGAAATTTGCGTGCGCGCCATAGTTAAAAAGCTGTTGAAGGTATCGAGCGCGGCGACGGAGCACGCCGTGCGCGTGCTGTGGAGCATCTGCTACCTTTTCGGCGAGAAGAAGGCGGCGGCGGCGGTGGCGGAGAGCAACGGAATGGCGAAGATCCTGGTGGTTCTGCAGAGCAATTGCTCGCCGGCGGTCCGCCAAATGTGCGTCGATCTGCTTAGGGTTTTCCGGTGCAGTTCGAAGTCGTCGTGCGTATCTTGGTACGATACAAAGACTACACACATTATGCCATTCTAATTAATTATTTCATTTAAAAAAAAAAATGTAAATCCAAAAGCAAATTTTGTTATTGAATTTAATTCGGTTAATTGATCAAATTATATCTCAATATATACATCGAATTTTGATGGGATGGAATAAGGGCTAATTTGATTTGACTTTGAGTGACACTTATTCCTAACCACACATCAAAATTTGGTATTGATTATTATTATTATTAGTTTCAGTGGTATTCTTGGATCCAACGACGTGATTATTATTTTGTGACAACTCGGAATCTCAAAAACGACATTTCTTTTTTAATTTCAATCCAATATAGGCAACCAAATAAATTTGTCCCAAAAAATTTCCAACCCCACATCACGAGTCAAAATCTTGACTTGTCACATCACCCTAATCAATAAAATACACATTTAAAAAAATAAATAAATAAATAAATTTAAAAAGTTATTACATGTAGTGATATACAGTGACAAAGAAGCAGGGACAAGAAAGAATTGATAATTGTAAGTAGTGGGAGTGGAGTGTTGTGGTGTGGTCATATTCAAATTTTGGTGAGGGTCCATTTGCCAGCCAAAAATTCTGCAATTTTGGGACACACATAAACTGGACAAAGATTTATTTACTTATATATTTATTTATTTAGGGAGAAGTTGCTGCAATAGCTGAAACAGTTGTGATTAAATAAATAAATAAATGTTGGATGCTGAATCAGACCATAATTAAAATATTTTAATTTGGTCGTCTTCATGATTAATTTTGAGAAACAAATGGCCCTCCCTCCCAACTGTCCAATTATTATTGCCCTTTGTACTTGTTGATTTCTTAAAACACTATAAAGTTTAATGTATATTATAAGTATGGATGTGTCTAAATTGAACTCAAATTTGATCAAGCTAAAGGAAACCTTACATAAAATATTATTACCAAATAGGTCATTTTTCCAGCAAGAAATAATATTTGGTTCACATAACAATTTATTTATTATGGAATTCTACTCCACTTTGTATAATTATTATACGTACAAATTGGATTATATGCTAAATTCAGCATTTTGATATAATTCAAAATGAATTATTATGATTTAATTTAGCAATGCTAAAATGTTGAATTAAATGTATAGGACTAATACCCAAAATGGACCTATTTAACACACGATCTACTATGAAATATTTAACATAAACAACATAACATTTGATTGTTAAACTTATTATTCAGGGCTTCTTCTTTATAAGCCCAATTAAATAATTTATTTAGAAAATTTTGTTCTCAACTTAAGCCCAAAAATAAAGAAAATTCACATGAACAAATTCACCTGCATATTATATTGCAGGGATGAAATATTCTTTTTAGGGTAAATATATAGTAATTTGTTTTTTATTATATTATATGTATAGATAATGTAAAATATTACGGGTGTGTTTACCTGTTGAATTTTGTAAATGTTTTACTGTTCGGTTTTGAAACAAAACCTAACAGAGAAAACCCTATAAGTCGTAGATCTAAGGCTACTCTTCACTAGAGCTGTTAACGATCCGATTCGAGCCGAGCCAAGCCGAGCCAAATTTTAAGTGTTCGTTAACGTTCACGAACAAGGCTCGAGCTCGTTTGTAGTGTTTGAGCTCGGCTCGTTAAAAATTTTTGTTGTTTGAGCTCGTGTTCGTGTTCGGTTCATTTAAGCGATTAAGCTCGTTCGAGCTCGTTTGTCTTATTTTTTAAAATTTATATATAAATTATAAAGAAAAATTAAAATTATTTTATTTATATATTTTAAATTAATATTTTATTTATTTATAAATTACAATTTTATATGTATATATAATATTTATAATAAATATATTATTTAAACGAAGGTTCGCGAAACGTTCGCGAACAAAGTTCGGGCTCGTTCGTTAACCAAACGAGTCTGTTTATATTGTTCGGCTCGGCTCGTTAACGTTCGTGAACAAGCTTTAACCGAGCCGAATCGAGCCGAACCGAGCCGAGTTCACGAACGGCTTAATTTGTTTAACAGCTCAACTCCTCACGCTAACTGGTAGGTTGATAGGACTGCAAAGGAAAGACTGCAAGATTCCCCCTGCAAGAGCTGTTCTTTTATCGTGAATATTATTTTCCCGCCTAATTTTCTATCTTCTCTCTATAATTAAAATATAAAACTTACACGAACATACCATCACATCTCTTCCATCCAATCAAACAACAATCATTACACCTCATATAATCATTAAAACCAAATCTTACAAATAAAAACACACTTTAAAAATCCTCCTCTAAAATATCTCAAAATCAAAATCAAAAACCAAAAAACCACAAGTAAATACACCCGTACATTTCAATTTTATTGTATAAAGTGGGGAGGAAAAAATTACATAAATAGAGATGAAATTGGAGATTCGCTGTCGATGCAATTTTTATTAGTAATTTATTGATACTTTAATTTGACATAGTATATATATATATATATAAAAGGCGGTAGTCGCTAAAATTTAGCACTGTGTTGAACTGCACATGGGGTGTTGTCAAACAGCACATGGTATAACTACATGTAGTACATTGTATATGCTAATATAATACAAATACATCATATGAACAAAGAACTTATGTTATAGTCTCAATAGAACATCGTGTGTTATCTGACAATACACAATATTATTACAGACAACACATTGTATATGTTAATATATTACAAATACAACACATGAATTAACAGTACATATTATAGTCTTATACAACACACAGTTGATTTTATCACATATACTCTTATACAATTGTGTGTTGTTTGTGCATATAACAATGTAACCATCCCCGTATATATTTACCGTAATTATGCAACATATATATTAAATATATATTGTTTGTCCAGTACATACAAAATCTTGAATATTGTCATTTAAATTTGAACGCGGGTAATAATAATTAATGTTTCAAATATTTGTTATTTAAAACCCGAGGCCCAACGCCCAAGCCCAAGCCCAAGCCCAATCTCAAATAAAGACACCCATAACTACTCACTGATCTATTATTAACATTCATAAAATGATTTTTGTAACCGAATATGTAGTTCATAAATTGTCAATATGTTATTAATGTAATTAATACTATTGTTTTTTTCTTAAAAAAAATAAAAAAATTATGCATGTTTAAATATTTATTTACTCATATGCTAATTGTAGTTATATGTATAAACTATATAGATCCATGAGACACTAATTTTAAAAAAATTTCTCTCTTTTTATTTTTATTTTTTTTATGATATAGAAAATTGCAGTCGCTACTATTGGTAAATTTTGACCGAATTTAATAGCGTGTAAATTAGGTCCGATAAAACGAATCATATTCGAAAAATCATATATTAGTTTAATTAGTGTTGGTTAAATGTAATTGGCATGGATCCATGTGTGTATATTTCTTATATATATATTGACCAATTGTTTTTAGTTTGTTGCTCTGCCTTATCTACTTTTAGTTAATTAGTTAAAAATACAATGGAGATCAACAAGTCAAATAATATCTGGTCCTTAAAAGTAAAGTTATATATTTAAAAAGTAGGGGACACCTCACAAAATAAAAAAGAAAGAAAATTAACTATTACTACAACATTAAAGAAGTCCCAACTTTTCTTAATATACAACCCACTTTCTTGTTATTAAATAATTTAATTTTTCTGGTAAATAATTGCTTCAATTACCCATATATATATATGATGAATATTTTAAGGCTGTTTATTTTGACCTAGTTATCTCATATATAATTAATCGGTCAATTGTTATTATCCGAATGGAAGTCAATAGTTACAAATTACTTACCACATGATACATTATCATCATCCATTTTGTCATTGCTTGCTTCATTTCCACGTTAAGATTTTGCTTAATTTTTACTATTTGAATTCTGCATTTTAAAAAAAAAAAAAAAACACTTTTTTTTTTCTCTAAAAAAATATCTTATCATATATTATTTTAATATAAAACTCAAACTAAATTTTTTTTCAATCCCATCTAAAGAAACATATACCCTAAGTTAAAAGGGATTATACATTACTTAATTAATTTCAATAGAAAGCTCCCCCCCCCCCCCCCCCCCCCCCACACACACATATATATATATACGTATAGGAAAGTAGGTAAGACAAATATACGAGCACATGGGATTGGAGATTTGAGTCATCCTTTATATATAAAAATAAATTTAAATTTAAATATATATATAAACATTGCATATACTCCAACCACGAAGATCATGACAAGCATCACCTTTTTGGCACCATAATTATCCACAAATCATCTTAATTATTTATTGTTATTCTCATCGGTAAAGTTAATTATAGTGTTGATTGGAGCTAATCAATCTTATATGTTAATTAGTTATAAAAACAAGATATAAAATAGACAAAATAATACATGATTTCAATTAATACAAACATATGTTGTGTTAATTAAAAATATGTGTCACTTTTAGGTTTATAGGATATATTGTATAAACATATATATATATTTACTAACAAAGTATCATTTTTTCATTTTACTCCGTCTCATAACAAAATATTCACTTTATTTTTTAGTAATTGTATTATCTACCTAACATTACAAATACCTTTGTAACTTACAATATATTACACAAATATCATTACGTTTATATCATAAATATTAATAATGTTATTTTAGTTATTTCTACTTTGTTTTTATTACATCTCAATATAATACTAATATTTTTAAAACTATGTGTAAAAAACAAATGAATATGTAATTATAGGACGGAGGGAGTATTATTATTATGTCTTTGTGATTAATTAAATAAGATGATCATGCCAACTAAGTAATGCAAAAATTAAGGGTTCCATCGATCATCTCAACCAAGAAATCCCAATACCAGCTCATCTCTCTCTCTCTCTCTCTCTCTCTCTCTCTCTCTCTCTCTCTCTCTCTATATATATATATATAATATGTGACAAGGAAAGTGAAGACGTAGTCAATATATATATATGTGTATGTATATATATGTAGTTTGAGTGAGGAGTGGTTGAAAAGTTTTGGGAATGTGGATCAATCTAATATTAAAAAAAAGTCAAATGAATTATATATTGTAAAAAATTTTTA